TTTTGCCTGGGTCCATGGGAAAGTGACCGATACATTGGCAGCAACAGCAACAGCAGCGGCAGCCACCTTAGCGGTCCTACCCCAACGGTCGCCTCAGGCATCGCCTCAGAAATGCTGCGCCTGCGCGTGCCTGGCATGCCAAACGGCGAATGCCAAGCGGGCCTCGAGACTGTCTGGGGCTGGGCACTAACATGGTCGCCACATGGCTGGCATGCCAGCGGGCCATGCCGCGAGCCCCTTTCAAGCCACAGCCATGGGCCACAGTTGGCTCTCAAAGCATGAGCAAAATTCCAAATTACAGTTGGGCAGGCACAGTTTAAGCGGCACATGTTCATTTTATGTCGCAACAACATTTACACTGTGACAAAAAGCTGCTGCTCGCATTTCGTATTTTGTATTTTGTATTAGGCCTTAAGTTACCATTCAGTTTATTTCCAGCTGGTTTTTATGTCTATTTCAGGCTGAAATTCAAACGATTATTGGAAATGTTTTGCAATAAAAAGTTAAACTAGCAGACATCTCTAAGCCCATATAGTATATATATATATATTCTTGATCTGTATCAAGTATCTGTATCTGTACATATATATGTCTGAATCGGCAGGTTCGGACACCCAGCACCTTATGTAGAACATTTTTCAGCTTTTCAAAATATCTCAACCGTTTCACCAAAAGCTGCGCAATTCTTCTAAAAGATCTGCAAAGCTCTATCAAAAGGTTGTAAAGCTAAAGTCGCAAATAAAATCTATTTGTTTAAATAAATAAGAAAAGTCTTATAATAGTTATAGACAATCTCTAGGCATTTGCGGCACTCTTTTGCATTTGCAAATGTATCTCATAAATTTCGAATTTTGGCTGCATTTTTGTGCATTAAAATCGAGTCATCGAACTGGGAAGGGCTGTTCGCTTGGACCATAAAAACATTTACACACACTCGAGCACAGTTGTGAATGCAAATGGTATTGTTAGTTTTGTGCGGATCAAAATCAAGGTGTTTCCTTGTTATCTAATATGCTAGTGCAACGGCAGCTGTGGATAAGGTTAATGCAATTTACTTTTTGCATGCAACCTTTTAATACTGCTGTTGACTCTCTAATTGATATGCTTGACGCGCCTGAGAAGACACAGCCACAGACAACCAAATCCAAATCCCAAGCCCAAAGACAAATGTCATCAGCATGGTTGGTTGTCATCGGATGTCAATGCCAGGACGGCCCATGCCAGGCCAGGCCAAGCTGTCCGGTTCAGTTAGTACCGGGCTGGGCCATTGCAGTACGACAGTTTTGCCTGCCAAATGCACAGCAGCAGCAATTGCAAACAACAACAGCAACAACTTCGCCAGTCAGCAGTGTTCAGCAGTTCAGCCATTTTATGGCTAAATTTGGCTAAACGGGTTGTCAGTCGAAAAAAAAAACTATTGATTTGCATTTTGACTCCAATCATGGCTATTTGAATTTAACAGTTTGTTGCTATTGCGGATACAAAAGGACGTATGTATGTAGCTAATTGTTAGCTACCTTTAGCTATTTCCAACACTGGATTTAGCTACACTTTTTTTTGAGGCAACAGTTGGCAACACTGGCACTCATAGATAATGCACATTGAAGTGCTTTGTTCGCCTTGCATCAAATTACGTTGTCGTTGTTGCAGTTGTTGCAGTCACAGTCGCAGTTGTTGCTGTTGCTGTTGCTGTTGTTGCTGTCATCTTTGTCATTGTCAGTGTCATTATCGTCTGCAACTGATTAGTCAGCAGGTTTTTCAGGCGTTCGCATTGGGGCATTTATCGTATGCTCCAGACATATGAATGAAACAATAGACATGGCCCAAAGGCATAGAGTTATGCTTAAATATAGATAGATAGAAACAAAGCGAGAGAGAGAGAGATAGAGAGAGAAAGGGGGAAAGAGCAAAGTCTACTGATGATAGTTTAAATCGGCAGGAATAGATTTAGACTTGTTTTGTTGTAGCTTGTTGTTTGCTAGTTATTCAAATAATATTCTGGCATGACCTAGGGCCAATCCATCTTTATATTATATTACAATAAAGAGGTCGCTAAGGTGAAAAATCGTTCTCTCTAGTTTCAACTATACCCTGTACCAGTTGCAACTGCTAATGATAGAGAGAGACAGGTTCAGTTTATCTAGCTTTGTCTATTCGAAACTCTGTTCGCGAACGCGTTGACCTCAAATTTCAGATGTACAAACATTCTCGTTTACCAAATGTGGAAGAAGTAGGCATCTGCGACCACATCAAGCACATATATATATATATATTAAAGATTAGCATCGACTATCGAGAGTTAATTCAATAGTGTCCCTCTGTCTGTCTCTCAGGCATGCAAATCAAAAACAGCATCCAGTATTATGGATGCTTAATTAAGATGGCAATTCGATTTATTAAACTATTCTGTAACAGGCTTTTGATGCCCATAGTTCCCATCGAATCAGAAATAAAACCAAGAAAGAGAGTCGACATATTTTGTAGCCAGATCTTAATCCAATAACAAAGATTTCTCTTTATAAAGATGTTTTTTCGTGTCTCAATCACAGTTCTTAGGATTCGCAAATGGGATATTCATGGGGAGCTGAGATGTGCTTTATGGATAGATACAAAGCTTCAGGTGTGATAAATCGGAGTATAGCTGCGATACCTGACTTGGCCAAACTTAAATTTATCCTTTTGAGCAACAAGTGAAAAAGCTTTCAAGGAAAATCGATTTAAAATTTAAAAATATTCAGCACAGGGTGTGGAAAATAACTCGTTAATTAATAACGAGCATAAAATGAGAGCGCGCGTGGCGTTGAGCCTTAGGTAACGGGCAAAGGGTGTGCGGTTAGTGGGGGTGTGTGTGTGTGTGTGTGTGTGTGTGTGTGTGGGCGGCTGATGGTTCTGGTTTGCGGCTTGCACGGTGTTGGGCACTGGGCGATGTTCGCTGATGGGCGGACTGCAGGCGAAATCACAACAGAGCCAAAGGCAGACAACAGAAGCCTGGACAAGGACACACTCACCACACACACACACACACACAAAAACACACATTTATATATGTATGTATATATATATATATAGAGAGAGAGAGAGACAGATACCTGCAGAGAACACTGCGAAAATTGTGTGAAAAATATGTGCGTTAGCCAAAGGCGAAGCGCGATTGCAAAATGAGTTTGAGAATCAGGGCGAGGTTGAGGACGTAGACGTGGGCGAGGCCGAGGACAAGCCAGCCAGCTGGAAAAACCAGAGAGCCAACCAAGTAAATAAATAAGCAGTCATAAAAACAATGTGCACACACACACACACACACACACACACACACAGACGCAGACATAGACACATGTGCTGCGCTGGGGTATTTCCATGGCGCACATGATTTCCATTCAAAGAGGCAGGACGAGGATGCGAATGCGATTGCAGGAAGTTCCGGAGCTGGCGAAACGGTAATAAATGCTTGGCAAATAGAGAAACAAACAAACAAACAAACAAATAAACAAACAAACACACATACACACGCACAACAAATCGCATGCGGTTGGCAAACACTGAGCCGCACAGTTTGCGAGCAACTGGACTCTGACCAATGACCACATTTGGGAATTTGCACATTTTTTGACACTTTTCAATTAATAGTCTCTAGTTGATTGTCTTAAAATAAAATAACTAATACTATAATCACATTCTAGATATTTGTTAGATAAACAGAAAACAGCAGCAAATGCTTGCTATTTTTTCTTTTTTTTATTTGCAAACGTGACGCTATTAGACTGCTTGGCTTAGTGGCCTGAACTGGCAAACAAGCAGTCGGCGGTTCAATTTTCGATATTTGTTATCAGGCACAAAAAGCAATACCAATAATCTGGACATAACAACCGCATGCTGCATGAAATGGATTGATAACTAATAGATTATGTTTGGGACGTGAGCATGATGAATGTCTCCAGTCTGGACGCGTGGTGGCCATTAGCCGGGATCTGTTTTGCCTGATGTTGGCGCGAATCGGACAAACGATGCCATTTGCAATGTTAGTCGGTCTCTCTATACATATATATATGGCGTTGTGCTGTTGTGTTCTATTCTTATTATGTCAAATGAAGAAATTGATTGAAAAGCAAAGCGCACGCAAAGCACGAAGTGCTTGTTTGAAAATAGAATTTAATATAGTTTCTAGCAAACAAACATAGTTGCTGTCTTAAGCGTAAGACATTTCAAATGATGGCATTCGACAAGCTCGTTTTTCCAGCACGCTCCGAACTGTCCATCATGCACCCTGACGCCTGCTGCGTAGGCAACACATTTTGGTTGTTCAGCTCTGGCACAGTGGCTGCTCAACTGTGCCGACTGTGACGGCGATTCTTTAAATATCGCCTAAATTTATGGTAAACCCAAGGGGCTACGCATATCAGAACCGGCAGCATGACTGGTGTATTGTGCAATTGGTTGCATCAGTTCCTACTTGTTTCTTATACCCTGTACTTATTTCAAATGGGTAAAAGGGCATCATCTCCAAAGTGTTTGCAGCATCAATAGCCAACTCGATCGAGCCATGTCCGTCCCTCCGTACGTCCGTCCGTCCGTCCGTCCGTATGTATGAACGCAGCGATCTCAGAGCCGGAGACTTGACCCTAGCGCCCGCGCAGTACAAGTTTTCGATAACCGATAGCTTGCCCCGTTGCCAAGCAGGCGATAAAAATCGATATCGAAATCCTGTTTTGTTAGCAAATCTCTTATGTTTTAAGAGCTAGATTCACCAAATTTGACTGGAACTAAAATTTTGGTTCACGATTGAATAAAACTAGGTTCAGGTTGAATGAAGCCTAAAATGAATCGAGTTTTAATTATGTTCGAAATCCAGTTTCGGATAGTTAAGTCTTAATCCGCTTACAAAAAAACTAAATACGTGCTGCGATTTATATTTTCCATTACGAGTCATAAGTGTGAGCTAGTTGCAAGGATCGTTGGAACCAGTTTCAAAGAGTTTTAGGTTAGTTTTTTTTTTAGGGACTTACCTCGATTCTTGTCGCAGCAATTGATCACCAAGTAAGAGTTCAGTTCTTCCTTTTGATATGCTACTTGTGGGACTGTGTTGCTGTTGCAGCTGTTGTTGTTGTTGTTGTTGTTGTTGTTGTTGTTGCTGTTGTAGTTGTTGCTGCTGCAGGTCAAAGGCGCCAGCAGTGCTGAGCAACTGTTGCTGGCTGCTGTTGCTGCTAGTTCCAGCTATTGGTGGTGCTGTTGCAGTTGTGTTATATGGCAGGCCGAGGCAATCGTCGGACTGATGCACAATGACGTCATCGTTAAGCGTAGTTAGTAACTAAGAGGGAGACAACGAGAGGGAGAGAGAGAAAGAGAGCGAGAGAGAGAAAGAGAGCGAGAGTGAGACAATATTGTTTGCTAACCTACGTGTTTAATAAAATATAAGTCAAGAAGAAATACTGTCGAAATCAGGCCAAACCAAATGGAACGAAACGAAACGAAATGAAACGATACGAAAGAAACACATGCCACACAATGTTGCTTGTCGCATGTTGCCCGTTGCTGGCAACGACAACAACGAGAACAACAGTTGCTGCCCGCTCACCTCTCGTCTCGGTGGATACAAATTATTCGATATTAGTAGATCACAATTTTTCATAGCGGACGTCCCAATGTTGCTGATGATATTGCTGCTGCTGCTGCTGCTGTTGTTGATGTTGATGTTGATGTTGCCTGATGTGATGCAATTATTGCTATTATTGTTGTTGCTTAAAAGTAAATGCTGCTGCTGCTGGTGCTGGTGCTGCTGCAAGTGGCCAGCAATGTTGCTGCCGTGGCCGTGTTGCTGCAGATCCGCAAACGCCTGTTGCAGCTGTCCGCTGGATATGGCCGTCGAATACTCTGTTTTTGGCGTTGTCGTCCCATGCGCATGTCCGTGTCCATGCATTGGCAATGCAATATCTGCCACTGTCACAATCGTTGTTGCCCCGCCGCCTCCCGCTGCTGCTCCTGCTGCTGCTGCTGCTGCTCCTGCTGCTGCTGCTGCTGTTGTTGCTGCTGCTGCTGTTGCTGCCAGCGGCGATGTTGAAGTTTGCGCATCCACAAAGTGGGCACCGCCAACACCAGCACCAGCACCAGCACCAGCACCAGCAACACCAGCACCAGCAACACCAGCAGCAACAGCAGCAGCACCAGTAACAGCATCGCTGCTCAGCTGCAGCGGCAACGGTCTGGACTGTAACTGCGTCAGCGATTGTCGCTGTTGATGGATCGCCGCAGTTGTTGCCAGCGTGGCGGCTGCAGCGGGCAACGTTGTTGTTGCGGGCAGCGTTGTTGTCGGCAGCTGGGCGTGCTTGTTGTTGTAGCTGATATAGGTGATGCCACAGTAGTTGGCACCATCGACATCATCGTCATCGTCCATGTCGTCATCGTCCACCTCCTCGGCCAGATGCTGCAAACTGGTGGCCAGCAGAGATTTCGCCTGCAGCGGCTTCCCAGCGGCAGCAGCCGCCGCCAATTGTTGCTGCAGCTGCTGCAACTGTTGCTGCTGTGCCTGGCTGGTCTGATAGATGTGCCCCGTGGCGCTGCTGGTCTTGTTACCGCCACCGCCGCCGCCCGCTGCTGGCGGCTGCTTGAGCGCTGCCGCCGCTGCTGCTGCTGTTGCGCCGACAATTGCCGCCGTCGTTGAGCTGCTCGCACTGCGCTCCGCACTAGCAGCAGCTGCTGCTGCTGTGGCCGCTGCAACTGCGGCGCTCACCAGTGCCGCCGAAGGCGCTGCAGTCGGCGTCGACATTGTCGCCGTCGCCGTGGTGGGCACCAGCGAGGGGGCGCTAATGGGCCCGCCGGCGGTGGCCGTTGTCATTGTGGCGCTGCTGCAGGTGATTTGATTGCTGCTAAATGACGTCACATAGATTGGCGTCGAGTCGTTCAGGAAACTCAAGTCCTGTTTTTGGCTGGTGACGGTGCCGCTTTTCGTTTGCTGCAGCTGCGTGTGGCAAGTGGAAGCGACGACAGCAATCGGAATGAGGAGGCGATGAATGGCACGCAGAGTTTGAGGAAAGAAAATGCAGCGAATGAGACCAAAATAGTGGGTAAAATGAGAGAAAGAGAGAGAGAGAGAAAGCGAGAGTGAGAGAGAGAGTGCAAAATAGACAAAGTAAGAGAGAGAGAGAGAGTGAGATCAATTATTGGAAAGACTTATGGTTAATCGTTTAAACGTTTTGTAGAGATTTGCATTGTGTTTATCGATGGATCGATAAATATCGATAACAAATCCAAAACCTCCCTAGCATTGTTTAATCAAAGTGTCAAAAGTCCTATTTTGTTCCGTCTATAGTCAAAATAATAGCTCGACAAATAATTGATGGAATATCCAAACCAATAAATAAGTAAATAAATAAACAAAATATCATTTATGTTCTTCAAATAAGTGATACGAAATCTTCGACGCTTGTTTATATATACTTGATCAGTTTAAGCAGCTTACTCGATATATCATTGCTGAACTTAGATTCTACATGCAGAAACTAGTTGCAAATCAAATTTCCATATTATGAGACTGAGAGACGAAGCAGCCGCACATGTGCATGAGAAAGTGCGAAGTCGGATACAAAATATTTGCTTGGCAACTTGGCGCTCTTAATAATTTGCCACAGATGCTGCGATGGGCTCTTAACTATTTATAGGCTTTAAATATGCTGAAAGGCTCCAGTCGCATATGCAAATCAATCAAATTGCATTAATGTGAAGCCAGTCAAAATAAGCCAAGCGCAAAAATGTCTGGGCCCAAAGTTTGGGTTAGCCCGATATAAATTAAAAATGTATTTATACAGTAAACGCCTGCTATAAAGATTGAGCCTTGAAGAAAAAGCTATTCAACAAGTTTGGGTGCATCTATGGCAGAATTCTGTAATATCAACTGGAAGTGAAACTATTTGGGGTATCCTTTTTGTTAAGTAACAAGCTTTGTTCTATATAATACTGATGTTTATTATACTTTAACTTTAAGTATGAAACTTTAGACCTTTCGTACCTTCGTAAAAAGCAAAGTGAAGCAAAAAAAAAGTCTTAACATTTGTATACGTAAAGTCGAACAGTTCCAGGAAATACTTATTTGGAAACGGAACAGAATGTAACTAGCTTAGGCAATTTCACACTTACGTTTGTGTGCTCTACAATGTTTGCCAGTGTCAAATGTTGGCGAGTGTTTACTGTAGCATTTAGACGCCTTTGTTGGCCATGCGTAGGTGCGCCAGCTTCACTGTCTGGCTACGTGGGCTGCTAACAAAAGGCTGGCTCAGTCGCTGAGTTTGCCGCAGCGGCCGCACCCCGACGCGTTTGCAAGCATAACTGAGCAATTAGATTGAGCCGGCACAGTTGCCGTCAAACTGTATGCCAGTGACAAATTCCCAAGCCAAGCTGGCAATCAAACAAATCTCTGACTCAAACATGTTGTTGTTGCTTTCAATTGCCCAAATAGCATTAGAGCAGCGCTCAATGGCGCTCAGCTCGCTAATCTAATGAGCGTCGGCATCGGCATCGGCATCGGCAACGGCATCGGAATCGCTTCCACTCTCATCTCCCCGCAGCAGCTGCCAGCAACAGGTGGCAGTTGCCCAGCCACGCGGATGCAATTACCAGTACATATATGATTACCAGCCACATATATAAGCCACACAGATATATACATATTGTTTATACATATATAAAAGCGCGTATATAGTTTTATTTATATATATATATATATATATATACATGTATATGTGCCCGTTGGCATCAACAAAATGCTTCACGCTTCGTGCACATTCCACTTGTGCGTTCAATTGCTGCGACTCTCAGACCAATCCATTCATGTGCCCAACCCACAATATTCAAGCCACCTCAGTTAACATTAAATCCCCTACCAGCTGCCATCCTGGTGGGCTCCACCCCGCACGACTACTCGTTGTCATCAACGTCGCCGTTTCATTCATTCATTCATTCAGCTTTTCTTATTTTTTTTTTTTTTTTTCTCTCCTCTCATCCACATTTTATCGGATTATTGACAGTGAAGACGAGCTGGTGGTGGCTTCGCATGCGTCGGGCTCCTCTATCAACCGGTGCGTGTGTGAAGTGGCTGGCTCATCATTTGGCATCAGAGCAGGATTCAGCAACCAGGACCCAGCACCCATCGACCGACACACAGCATCCAGGACCAAGTACTCAGGCACTTGTTCTGTCGATCTGCTCAAAGAGCCTGCACTTAAACACTTATCGCACTTAAAATCATTGGTTTGGTTAGGTTGGGTTGGTATGGGTTCGGTTCGGTTCAGTTGGCCTGGCAATAGCCTATTGACTAGACTTCATTTTGATAGCTTTGGCTACAGTAATCTGTCGCAAAAACCACCGAGCATCCAGCCCACAGCACCAAGAGCCCGAACGCCACTCCAGAAATGGAAGGCAATGTCCCTTGAGGCAAAGCCAACACACAAGTTTCTCTAACGAAAACTGTGAACAGGAGAGGGACTAAATAAGAAGGAAGGAGGAGCATTTACTCTTAGTGATTGATGGATGACTCAACTATTTCGAATGACTGGAGGTTATCTGCCGAATGCGTAATTCGATATATAAATCAATTATTATTCCAACAGTTATGAATTTCTTGCACGAGTTTATTTTTATATTCTGAACCCATTGAAAATGGATAAAAAGGGTATAATGTTTTTGTGCATATGTCTGTAACAGGCAAAGGGAAGCAATTCCGATCCCATAAAGTATATTTATTCGTGATCAGCATCAATAGACGAGTTGATCTAGCCAGGTTCGTCTGTCTGTCTGTCTGTCCGATTGAATTTCTGTATTCTTGTAATCATTCTTCGAATTCTATCAGCGGCATTGCAATTGCGATCGTTTTCTGTGCTGCTATTTTAATTCGTTTTTTTTTTGTTTCTCAATAGCACTCAATTATGGGTGTGGCTGTTGAGTAGAGGTAGGTCTGTTCAAACTCTGCTAAGGGAACTTTTATCTTAAGTTTTCTTAATTACTTCAAACGAGAGCGTAGCGAGAGCTTTATTTGGTGTTTGAAGAAGAAGAGGGTTCAGTGTATTCTCTAGTCCGAAGCACCCAACTAGAACCACTTACTTGTTTTTTTTTTATTAAAAACAATTATAAATGTACTTGTCAAACAAATAACTGTGTTGCAAAAGTTGTTTATTACAATAAAAAGTGTTGTGAAAGTTGTCGTTTGTAAAGCAATTAAGTGTTGCAAGAGCTGTTATTTACAAATCTGTGAAGTTTTGTAGAAATTCTCATTTATAAATGGGTTTAAGTGTTGAGTTAGTTTTTTTTTTTTTGAAAAAAAAAAAAAAATGTTGTATAAGATATCAATTATTAACTTTTTAGTATATTGACTAAGTTGTTATAAATAAAATAATTAAATGTTTTTAAAAATGTCATTTATAGTAAAACAGCCAATTAAAAGCGTTGTAAACGTTTTAATTTTTAAAGCGGTGAAGTTCTGTTAAAGTTTCATTTATAAATCAAATTAAGTGTTGTAAAAGAGGTTATTTGTCAAAACAAGTTGGTATTGTATTAGTTGTTATTTGACAAACAATAAAAGGTATTGCATCGGATGTCATTTTTAAGACAGTTTAGAGTGTTGAATAAGTTGTTATTTATAAAATATTTCACTGTGCTAAAAATTGCCAATTATGTAACATATTCAAATTAAAGTAAAACAACTCTCCTCTTTAAAGCAATCTAATATACAATTACAATTAGTAATAAAGTAATATAGAAATTAAGTAATATAAAAGTTGTCATTAATAAAAAATAATAAGATGTTATTTAAAAAAAGAATTAGATGTTTTACAAGTTGTTATTAAACCAACATTTAACAGTGTTGTGAAAGTTGTGATATATAAGAAACTTGAGTGTTGAAAGATTGAGTGCTGTACAAGCTGTTATTTTACGAAATTAAAAAAGTGCTGTAAAGGTTTTTATTGGAGCTAATAGTGTTGAATAAGTTGTTATTTGTCATGGGATTAAATTTGGCATTTATAACAGAAATGAAAGTGTTGCATTAGTAGTTATTTAATTGAATTTTATTTTTGCATTTTATACGCTCAATATTCCAAAATATATCTGCTTGAAAATATTTGTTAAGCCTTAAATTTTCATTAAGATAAAAAAAATATTCAAATATATAATCATTTATGAAATACTCTTAAGTTTTTACAAATGATTTTGGAACTCTTTGCAAAGTTACGCAATGTGTTATGTATTACTTTAATCTATTGTATATGCTATATATTATATATGCATGTGTTATTAGATGCGAAAGGCATTTGAATGGAAACTGGCAATTAAAAAACAAATCATAGCATTGCAATCGTATGTAACCGACTGCGCCATACTCTGTATAATAATTGCCTCTAAAACTGTAGCCGCAAGTCTAGAAAATATCGATTTGCACAACTTTTTAACACCTTTTGAAAATGAAGTTAATAAGTGCGTTCATGCCAGCAGATGGACGGACTTTGCACAAAATCAATATGCTCGTTTTCACTTTGTAAGATGAGTAAAAAAAAAAACACTTTTCATGCGCAAATTCGCACACAAGCTTCATTTGAGCATTTATTCGCAGCTGTCAGGCGCATGCACACACACAAACAAGCACACCCCCCTAAACACACACACACACACACACACACACACACTAGCTGTGGAACTGAGCTCATTTTCAATTACCCACACAACTCGAGCTTGAGTTGCCGTCATAGTTTTTAAAAATGGTTTAAATAAAGGGTACACCGAGGTCGTGCAAGTGTATGCGACAGGCTTTTAAAGCCATTTCTGAATCCGCCAATCAACCATCAAGAGTTGATCACACTAGAGACAGGAGATCCAGAATATTTCACATTAGAAATGAAAACCCAGCCCGAGCATTACGCTTTGGTATCTGCATACATTTGGGTGTCATGTTCAGATCCCAGAGCAAAATTCCACAAGGATCTGACTATGCATTCCTCGCAGTGTGCGGCTAAAGGAAGTGCGCCTTTGTCTGTGCTACTGCTGCTGTTTTTGTGGATGTCGGCATGAGAGAAAGTTTGAATATTTGCATCGACAGCTGGGCACAGGTTACAGGGTACAGGGTATCTTCAATGCGACTGGCTTGATATTTATGCACATTTTGCAACATTGTTAGTTCTCAGTTCTCAGAGAAATCTATTTGCAACCCAGAAGGTATATCGTCTGAGCAGAGCGTTGGAGCTCAATAAGTATTTGCCAGAAAATACTCTACTATAAAACTCTATATTTTTTTGTTATAATTGATTTCGCTGAAACGGAACTTTCAAAGGCGCAGCGCTGGTTCAAACCGTGAATCGAACCAGCGACAATCACAGACATCATTATGAAGTCTAAGCCAGGTACAGGGTATCTAAGTGGCGGGCACTTGCAACCGGAATATTTGCAGTTATTTTTTTCAGTTACTTTGTGTTTTCCGCCTTCTATTTTTAGTACTTCCTTTTGTTTCACTTTTAGCTTTTATTTTGCTTTTCGTATGACTTTTGCATTTGTATTTGTATTTGTATTTGTTGTTGTTTTGTTTTGTTTTGTGCTCTGTTTGTTGAATTTTTAATTGAATTGGCGACTTTTCCCATCCTTTGCCAGTGCTCCGGACTGCTACAATGGTCAGTCGGAATGCCGCCGGGGCCAAAAGGAGCTGCTCTGCTCGAGCAGGCAGGGTTTCCACCTGGTTTCTTCGATTATACCAAATGCCATTTGTGCGTGCACAAGTGTCTGTGTGTGTGTGTGTGTGTGTGTGTGTGTGTGTGTGTGTGTGTGTGTGTGTGTGTGTGTGCGCTCGTGTGCTATAAAACTGCAGCACAAAATTCAATTCAATTTCAATTTTTTTCGTTAAATCTGTGAGAAAATGTTTGCCCTTTAATGTTGTGGCTCAGCAAAAGCAACTCGATTGCTTTCAATTTCGAATTGGCTATAGAAAATCGTTTTAGATAAGTTGGGGCACGTTCTGGCTAGAGTTGGGTGTCTGTGGGTTACGAGTGGTAATTAGTTGGCTAAGAAGATTGATTGAACAAATCGCAGATTGAATTCCCGGATTGCCCCCGTTAGAGCTATATGGCATTGTAGTTCGATGTCAATAAGTTTGGTTAAAGTACCAAAAGAAGCGAAAAGTTGTCTATAGAAAAACTTAATTTTTGACTAATCAACCCTGTGGCCACTATCTGATATAGTGATTCGATCCGATACTGCCTTTATAGGAAATACGAACATTCGAAGAGTCCAAGGCAGCTGGAAACCGACAAACAAAGTTGGGCATATTATCGCGACTGATCAAGAATCTATATAATTTTCAGGGCCAGATATGTCTGTTTCTATGCAAACAATGCGGTATACAAGTAATATTATAATAATATTGTCGGCAATGATAATTGCTTGAAGATGAAATAGAAATCAAATTAAAACTTTCAACTAGTTATGCAAAATAAAGAAATCACTTAGAGCTTTCAATACAACTCATATTCGAGTTAATAATATATGCTGTATAAACTGTACAAAATTGTAAATTGATAGGAATAGCTTAGAGTAGATAAGTTTAAGAATCGGTATACCATAATGAAGTTCTTAAGACTGTCCGCATACGATTTATTATGTAGTCAAAACATGATAGTCAGTTGCAAATAACCCACAGAACGGTCGGCAATTACCAATATGAGTGTATGCCAGGAAATACTTTGGCTGGAACTTACCTTTTTGGAAAGCTGTGTTATATCCACGGGCGTAACGCGATTCAGGGCCGCCAAGCGCTGCAGACGTTCCCGCGCGTGCTCCTCCACGGCGATGACAAACGCGTCCTGCACGGAGTTGCCAATATCCCACGCTGCTGGAAATAAGTAGACACAGTGAGAGAGAAAGAGAGAGAGAGAGAGTGGGAGAGAGAGAGAGAGAGAGGAAGAAAGAGCATGAGTAAGTGAATAAGAACACGTCGCAAATGATTTATGAGCTAAAAGCTTTGGTGATGCTGCCACTGTCAGGCAACCAAGCCGCCAACCACAAGAGCAGCAGCGGCAACAACATGGTGCGTGCCACAAACAGCGAAAAAGCTCACAAAAAAAAAAAAACAAACATTAAAAACACCCACCCACACACACACACACACACACACACACACACAAGTGCAGTAAAGCCCCAAAATGTGCGACACAATGTCCGCAATTGTAAAGCTTTGTAAAAGAGGATTGCATCCTTTCATTATAATGTAGTATAAATTTAACTGAATGTTTCGCACAATTGTTGGGCTTTCTGAATTCAATTTGCAAAAATGAAAATCGAACTTTTTCGGTTAGACTGAGTTCTGTTTAAATATGCAAAGCCTTGCATTGAACATGTGTAAGCAGGGTATATGGGTTCTGGCATAAATCAGACATATTCTCGATCAGGACGTCCAGCCGAGTGAATCTAGTCATCCGTTCGTCCATTCATCCGGCTGTCTGTGCAGAGAGTACAAAAGCTGGAGACACAAAATGTGAAACATTTCAGCAGGGTGTCTGTTGGTCGGATATGCCCATTGGCGAGTTCTTACTTGTAATTTTTAATTTTGCGAATTTCAGACACAAACGAACTGTCATTAAAGCGGCAAACGATTGTGTTGCAATCACATCAAATTTCAAAGTGTAATTTCGACTTTTATATGCATGTACCTACACCCATGGCCATATTGATAGAAGTGCATATAAATTTGTATGCGAATTCCTGAAATACATATTATTGTCGTGCCTAAATTCAAACATAGTCTTTTTGTACACATGCATATTCATTCATATGTACACGCATGTACATTATCCAGCACATACATGCTCACATCTACGAACATACATACATCGCAAAGATGAGTGTGAATTCGTTTCAGTACAACAATTTTATAGCTAGCTTTTAGTTTTCAGAAATCATTTAATCTGTTGGATTTCAGAGTATAATAAATTGAACTGGTGTACTTATTATTCTGTTCATAGGTGTATGTGATGCACACTTAAACAGAGTCCACTGTGGGCAGAACACCGTGTGAGTGTACGTGTGTGTGTGTGTGTGTGTGTGTAAGTGAGTCAGTGGGTGAGTAGGTGGAGAAACATGTTCATTAATATGGCATTTCCGTCTGACGTTCGCCATAGGCAATATACAATTCGAGCCGAACAAATCGAACAATACAAATTGCTAGACGATAATCTGTAGGTAAATATATATGTATAACATACAGTACATATACTGTCCCCGCACGGAAATACTCGCAAGTCAGCTCAATATTTGTTATATGGCAATCTCATGGGTATGCAAAAGTGGGTGTAAACTGCAATTTCTGGCTGAGCCGGGGAGGGGCCACTGTGAGTGTACTCGCATGATTATCCATTTAATTCACATGCCAGCTGATTGAGTGGAAATGGATATGCATGGCAAAACTGTGGGTGTTACCGCCCTTGGGGAAATCTCTGACGTTTGCGTACTTGAATGCGTAACTCTCGATTTAACCAGCTGGAAAATTAAATATCGCACAAATTTATATACATATATATATGAAACAAGTAAGACTGACCAATTGGGAGATATCCTTTACCAAGACATACCCTCTAACCCACTCTGAGCTGCTTTCACAAACAATCCAGCTTCCCATCAAATGTACTTCTGATTTGCCTTATGCGTCATTTCGTGTAATTGGAATTCCAATCTGAAAACCTTACAACGACAGCCGAGTCGATAAAGACATGTTTGCCTAAATGTCCGTCCGTCCGTATTCACATTTGAATTCGTCGATCTTTTTTCAAGATATCGATAACATGCAAACGATAAGAATCGATAACAATCGAAGCTTGGCAAAATATGTGTTTCTCTTTTTGAACACCTTTTCCCTTCCCTGCAAACTTGTTACCTTTTTCGTCTTTGCTATTTGCTTGTAGGTTTTGTCGGTTGTCCTAATCACAGTTTGATTGATTTGATTTGAGCTTGAAATGTACTCATTTGTGAACGAGTGCTATGCACACATACATGCACATACATATGCACATATGAATGTAACTAGAACACGAATGAAATTAATGAATTTAGAGCAATACCGAGAAGGTTTATCATACTAGATGCACATGTACATAAATATGTACAATTTTATGACAAAGCAATGAAACTCGATAATGTATGTATGCACATGCATTCATGCACATACATATTTACATGCATGTGTATGTACATGTTTGGATGACAATGCTGCTGCAGATATTTAAAGAATAGTTGAGATATTTTAAGGTTAAGTTCATAGCAGCAAAATGAACGAATTTCGAGACTAGAAACAGCTCGGTTCAAACCCAGTTTACAGCCTGGATTTACATACATTCAAAAGCCATGAAAACTTGAGGGGCATAGTATGGGGCTAAGGATACGAGAAGCACAGTCGGAGCTGGAAAATTAAATTTATGCTAAAAAGAAAAGTCGCTGTTTGTCTATTGAAAATCACAATTCGAACCGACACCTGAGTACAAAGGTGGGCTCATGAACCGCACATTAAGGTGTGGCGAGTTGTTTCTTTGAAATCGCGAGTTATAATTATGGATGGATGGATTGGATTGACTTCTTTGTAGACAAACACATGCACATGCACATATGCATGTGCGAGTAAGTAAGGCAAATTGCGAATATGTTGAAATTAGCTGAGATTCTGGCGACAAGCCGCACACAAATTGAACTCCATTAGTTAGGCTGATGATGATGATGATGATGATGATGATGATGATGATGATGATGATGATGATGATGATGATGATGATGATGATAATGATGGCGTTGAGGACGACGCTGATGACATTGGTGATGATAATAAATCAGGAATGCACAGAAACATGGAGCTTTAGCTGTCACTTTTATTGCTTTTCAGCTGCAGCTTGGCACGCCCGAGTGCTCGTATTAGCCCCCGCAGGTCCTCTCAGCTTTCAGCGTATACTCAGCGCAGCCTCGGCTTTAATTTCATTTCGACGCCCTTGCATTTGCCATACCCTGCATGCCAGCAAAATTGAAGCGCCGGCAGTCAAGACTTGTGTCAAAGGACATGACCTACAAACGCTGGAAAGCGCATTCGTGGGCGAGACCCTAGAGTTGGGAATCCAACACGGTCTTTAACTGGAGTCTCAAATACCCAAAGCTAAGTCAAAGAGAGCCTAGAGTTGGGCATAAAGCACGTATTTTAACTGAACTCCTTAATACGCAAAATTAAGTCAGGCAGAGCGAAGAGTTGGGAATCAAACACGGTCTTTGATGAATTAAAGAGAGTATAACCAGGAACGAGCCTTATCGTTTGCCTGGTAACTAGAGACGATCGAGACAGTTTGATTTCTGTGTCCCAAGCAAGACCTTAAAGACATTTGTTTACATCAAAATTAATTTTTAATTATTTTCCATCCATTGAGCTGCTTGCAAATACATAGACTTGACAGTTAGTAAAAACCACGAGCGAAAAATTAACCCCTGATAGGCATAGGGATAGCAAGGACAGACAGGGTATCTAGCTGTTGGCCAGATGTAAGGCAGGCAAGCAAGTGTACGTGTGCTTGTTAGTTTTTTGGGCTGTTGATTGCGCCCAAAAGTGGCTGTCAATGAAGAAGCAGGCGGAAGGCAGGCGTCGACGTCTGCCAGGGAAGGGCCAGAGTCGAGGGCAGTCGCTCAATCTTGAGTCTAGGCTGCGCCCTGTAACTGGGCCGCATATGTATGTATGTATGTATGTATGTATGTGTGTATATTCAACGCGCCACGCCCAACAGCCACCGCCCCACGCCCTACGGGAGCCTCGCCCACGCCGCGGCCACTCGCAATTGCAAATCCAATTAGGCGCCGCTGCGTTGTCAGCGTCGTCGTCATATGTCATTGAACCTCCACAGACGCAGCAGGCGCTGGCAGCCATGCTTTGACTTTTAATCTCATTTGTGTGTGTGTGCGTGTGTGGCATGCCTCTCCGCATGACACGCCTTGTCAGTTGCAAGGCGATTGAGTTCATGTCCATGTCCACGTCGAGTGCGTCGAGGGAGGCGCCGCCTCTGCGTTGCACATGCAACTGTTTAACTTGCCCAGTTAAAACAGTAAACTCTCTGCTCTGTGTCCAGCGTGCCCCATTGGTGCCACGTTATTAACCTTAATTAGCAATTAATGGCGCTGAGGGCCAAATAGATGTTGCGCACATAAATTGGATAGCCCATCGTCATTGTCATCATCATTATCGACTTCAGTATATCGAAGCCAATTGCCAGACAAGTTCTCTCTCCGTGTGTGTGTGTGTGTGTGTGTGTGTGTGTGTGTGTGTGTGTGTGTGTGTGTGCATGCTGGATTTCACACACTTGCCACTGGGGCATCTAATGGGCCAAGCGGAAATCAAAGCGCTGACAGATGCAGCGCTTTAATTGACGCAACGAATCGATAAACAATAAACCAAAGTGCTCTCTAATTGCAAACACAATGAATGAGAAGCAGCAGCAACAACAACAACAACAACAACAACTCGTCCTAACTAGCAACAACAACAGCGCAAATTGTATGCACAACGCTGCTCAAACTGTGCGCATAGGTTGAACAGCCACTGTGAGCAAACATGCTTAAGTATTCAACTTGACGCCTTGTTTAACAAATTTATCCGATATTAATCGAACAAACACGATATGCACGATATATATCCATCTCGATCCTGTCACGTCCGTTCGTTCGGTTTACCATAATCAAGGCAAGTCTGATTCTTTTAAAACTGTTCCAAGTAAATGCTGCAAAACAAATCGAATGATTTCAATTGATAGCTTTAACTTCAAATGAAATTCTGCAAATGTTTAGCCTCATCCTTGAGACACAAATTTCACCCTC